CATGACAAATATATTCCTTCCACTTTTGACTAGAGGATAATAAGAACCAAATCTTCTGCTTACAATTTTACATATCTGATAATTGAAAGAATTCTTCACAAACAAGCTTCTGGCTTGGCTGACCAAATCTGCTTAAAACTTGTTTTTCCTTCATTACTCATATACTTCTGTGCTAGACACTGTCAAATACACTGTGGTAAGTTCTCTGGCCCTGCATCTTTGCATCACAAGAGAGGGTTGGCATAGTGGGCATAGGGCTGATTCCTGGAAGCCATTTCTGCATTAGAAAAGCTGAAGATAGTTTAACTATATGAAAGAAACTGTGATCTGTAAAATAATATCCCATTAAATAACAACAAAATACAGTAGAAACTTCATAGTTGACCACCTCCCTTCATTGACCACCTCCTTAAGTTGACCTAATTTTCATAGACTGGACATGCCCCATATGTACATATCAGTACAGCAAGCCTAGTACCTTATTTTGACTACCTCTGTTGACCAAATTGTTGACCAATTTGTTACAGTCTGTTGGGTGGTCAACTTACAGAGCTTCTACTGTATATACCCAACTAAATTTGTTGTTTTCTTTTTTCATTTGTTTGGTTTGAGACAGAGTCTCAATATATCACCCTCGGCAGAGTGCCATGGCATCACAGCTCACAGCAACCTCAAACTCTTGGGCTTAAGCGATTCCCAAGTAGCTGGGACTACAGGTGCCTGCCACAGTGCCCGGCTATTTTTTGTTGCAGTTGTCATTGTTGTTTAGCTGGCCCGGGCAGGGCTCGAAACTGCCAGCTTCAGTGTATGTGGCTGGCGCCATAACCACTGTGCTACAGGGGCCAAGCCTCAATTTGTGCTTATTTTCCAAAAGTATTCATGATGATGTTAATACCACTTGATAGTAAAAGTATTATAAAGGGAAAATGGAGTAAAATAAGACAATAGACTCAACTTATTGTGGCTAAAATATCTATTTTTATAAATTAAAAAAAATCAAATGACTGTGTGATCACATTGCTAGGCCCCCAGCTTTGAAAGCAGCCTGTTCCAAGTTAGAGACCTTGAATTTTAAGCTCATAGTAAACTCCACCACCATGACCCCTGCCCCAACACATACTACCTGTTCTTTTCTCTGACTTCTCTCTGGGTTTCTAATTTATTTATTTATTTACGTTGTACCTCTGCAGACTGCTGCCTTTCTCTATTTAGCTATATACGTGGTTCAAAGACTCACGGCTGAATCTCTTGTGCGTACTATCAGAAGAACTGCTACACACCTGCCCACCAACATCTGTATGTCCAGCGTTATCCTATAAAGAATCTGATGTACTTTATCCTAGCTTATTAATTGGCTTTCTTTGCTTCAGGTGTTCAACCTTGATCCAAGATGCTGAGACCAGATAGATGTAAAGTTCCATAGAATGAGTACAGAGATCCATCCTATGAATGGATACAAGAGGGAATAATTCACAGAAAATGAGGATGGACTAAGTTGACATTTCAAAAGGCACTATACCACAGCAAAGTAGACCAGGTTCAAGCAATAGGTACAGCAAATATTTTCTAAACACTTAATACACAAATATATTTTAGGACTTTCTCCAAGGAGGACACATTTTACAATATCTACCAATGTTGTTTGTTACAAATGTTCTCTACCACTTGCTTGAGTCCAGTGAGACATAACATTTTTACAAGTCGGGCAAAGCAGATTTATCACTCACAAATAGGTATCAAGAATAAACAGAAGCCTAGGACACATAGCAAGCCAGACCTCCAAACCTTAGGAAAGATGCTAAGGATGCAGTGGTTCTCAACCTTCCTAAAGCCACAACCATTTCATACAGTTCTTCCTGTTGTGGTGACCCTCATACATGAGAAGCGGTGTCTCGCTTCCTAAGACCATCAGAAATATGTGTTTTCCGATGGTCTTAAGTAACCCCTGTGAAGTAACTGCTGCTTTCAAAGTCTCGTGTGGAACCCAATATCCCACTGTAGCTTACAGCTTCTGGAACCACTTTGAGCTGAGGTTTTTATCCCAGGTACTACTGGGAGTACTGAGAACAGGCATTACAGTACATCTTGCTCCAGGAGGACCAAGGACACAGCCCAGATTGTTCCTCACAGTACCTCCTTTTCTCCAGATATTGCATTCTACAGTTATTCTGAGAAGAATAAGAGAGAAACTAGATAGCTGGATTGGCCAAGACCATCCAAAGATCTGTTAAGTATATTTCTAGGGAACTTTATAGGAGACAGGGCAGATCATAAGACTAGGAGTCTGAGGAACACATTTTGAGGACTGTTAGATTTAATAATCCTGGCACATCTAATTTTACTGTGCTTTGCTTCATTGTGCTTCAGATATTGTGGGGTTCTGTTTTGGGGGGGTTGGTTTTTGTTTTTTACAAATTCAAGGTTTGCAACCCTCTTGATCAAGTCTACTAACCCTATTTTTCCAACAGCATGTGCTCACTTCATGTCTGTCATATTTTAGTAATTTTTGTAATATTTCAAACTTTTTCATTATTATTATAATATCTGCTGTGGTGATCTGTGATCAATGATATTTGGTGTTATTGCAATTGCTTTGGATTACTATGAACCATGCCCATAAAAGCAAATTTAATCAATAAATGTGTGTGTTTTGGCCTGGTGCAATGGTTCACACCTGTAATCCTAGTGCTCAGAGGCCAAAGCAGGTGGATTGCTTGAGCTCAGAAGTTCCAGACCAGCCTGAGCAACCCTACTAAAAATAGAAAAATTAGCCCCGTGTGGTAGTACACGCTGTAATCCCAACTATTCAGGAGACTGGAGCAAGAGGATCACTTGAGCCCAAGAGTTTGAGGTTGTTGTTAGCTATGACACTCTGGCACTCTATCCTGGGTCAACAGAATGCGACTCTGTGCCTAAATAAATAAATAACCAAACAAAACAAACTAACAAAAATAAATGTGTGTGTTCTGACTGCCTCACCTACTGGCCATTCCTCTGCCTTTCTCCCTCTCTTGGGGCCTTCCTAGTCTACCAGCCGCGACAATATTGAAATTAGGCAAACTAATAACCCTAGAGTGGCTACTAAATTGCTCAGGTGAAAGGAAAAGTTGCACATGTCTCACTTTAAACTGGCAAGTTAGAAATGAAGCTTAGTAAAGGCATGTTGAAAGCTGACACATGCCAAAAGCTAGACTTCTTGCACCAGTTAACCAAGTTGTGAGTGCAAATGAAAAGTTCTTGAAGGAAATTAAAAGTGCTACTCCAGTGAACACATGAACGATAAGAAAGCAAAACTGTCTTATTGCTGATGTGGACAAGTTTGGGAAGTCTGGATAAAAGATCAAACCAGCAAGAACATACAGCCTTCTTGGTGTGCAATGCCTTAAGTAAAAGCCAGTTCTTCAGAGGCTTAGACAGGTGAACAAACTGCAGAAGAAAATTTCAATGCTAGCAGACGTTGGTTCATGACTTAATGCATTACCTTGCCTATCAGGACCAAGATTTGCGACTCTCCCTTCTACTTTTATAGTTAACATTGCAAGATTTGTGATTCCCCCTACTCTTCTATAGATAAAACTGCAGTTGTTTTTTTTTTTTTTTTTTTGAGACGGAGCCTCAAGCTATCCCCCTGGGTAGAGTGCCATGGCATCACGCTCACAGCAACCTCCAACTCCTGGGCTCAAGCGAGTCTCCTGCCTCAGCCTCCCAAGTAGCTGGGACCACAGGCGCCCACCACAACGCCTGGCCATTTTTTGGTTGCAGCCATCATTGTTGTTTGACGGGCTGGGCTGGGGATTCGAACCGGCCACCTTAGGTGTATGTGGCTGGCGCCTTAGCCGCTTGAGCCACAGGCGCCGAGCCGCTGTTGTAAATCTTAAGACTGGTCATTGAGATGTTTTTCAGGTTCTACACTGCAGAGACCTACTGATGCCACCCAGACCCGTGGAGTAGGTAATTTCTACATCTCAATCCTATGAGCTCATCCCCTGCCAATCAGCAGACCCAATTCCCTAGCCCTTTGTTTGCCAGACTGTCTTCAAATTTCTCCCAAATTCTTGGGGAGATAGATTTGAGAAACTCCTCCCATCTCCTCTCATGGCGCCTATGATCTTAAACTCTTTCTCTGCTGTAATCCCTGCCATCTCAGTGTATTGGCTTCCTGTAGCAGGCAATGAACCTGGTTAGGCTGTAATAATCTGTTTTAGTAGGCAGGCACTGCACACCGAGGGGGTTGTATGTTCTTACTGTATGAATCTCAAGACAATAAATCTTATGCTCCGTGTAACAAGACTTTAACTTGAAGTATATAACAGTCTTTCATCATTTAACACATATTTATTGAGCGCCTACAATATGCCAGGCTCTGATACTGGGGGGAAGAAAACATCAACCGTGTTCCTATGAAGCTTACACTAATGGGAGACACTTTAGTGTGTTTCGCTGCCCAGTTAACAAAAAAATAACCACATAATTACGCCTGGAAAATCTGCCTCTGGCATATGACGAAATGCAGGCATACCCGCCAACAAGCCCTGACGTTAAATTCACCCAGCACAGGCAGCAACCAACGCACCTGCAGCACATGCGCAGCGAGTCTCTTAGCGCCCAGCTGCGCGCGCCTGTGACGCTAGGCCCCGCCTCCTACTCTCCTCCCAAAGCCCACCCCCACCCTCTGGAGCAGAGTGCGCAGGCTCATCAGCGGGGCTCTGGTTCTGCCCAGAGCTCTTAGGAGCGGGCTGCGTCGGCTGCCTTGGAGGTTCTCAGGTGGCCTCCAGGCCTTGTCCTTCTGCAGTGGCCGCGCTGCCGCCGCCCACTCTGGAGCTGGGCTGTGCAGCCGCGGTCCCGACCGCCGTGTTTGATCAGCAGAATCCCAAGAGTGCGCAGAGAGTGAGACCACTCTCCGGCCCGGCTAGCCCGGGGCGTAAACCGAACTGAGAGAGGATGGCAGCCTCCGGGGTGGAGAAGAGCAACAAGAAGAAAACAGAGAAGAAACTTGCAGCTCGAGAAGAAGCTAAATTGTTGGCGGGTTTCATGGGCGTCATGAATAACATGCGGAAACAGGTAGCGCCCCTCTGGGAGTGACCGATGACAGTGGGGAGGTGGTCCGGGACCCCGGACCCTGGTTTTCGGGGCCGAAACCCGCGCCCTGTGGATCGCGAACCTCTTCCTCTGCCCTCGGCCCTCGTTGCATTTCGCACGCAGGCGAGTCTGCTTTTAGAGAGTGGCGCGTCAAACCGTGCTGGAGCCAAAGTGCCGCTTGGTGTGGCTCCCAAGTGAGACTCCTGGAGGATGTGGCTCCCAAGCGAGACTCGTGGGGGACTCCGGCTGGCACTTGGCGTCAGGTATTGGTTGCGTAACAGCTCTGCCCTAGTTATCTCATTGTGAGGCGAGGATCCTTCCATTGGCGAGCCGTTTTAAGGTGTCGTGAGATCTTGTGGGAAGAAGCCCATTGGCGCAGCCCAAACCCAAGCCCCAGAGGGAGAAGAGTTGGTGCCCTAAAATCAGCTAATCTTCCGTAAGGATTCCTGCCCCCTCCTGTGATGATACCCGGTGTAGATAGTTGAAGACGGATCCTCCTGCTAAGCGTTAATTGAAAGTAGAAACAGTCATCAGTAAATACCACGTCATCTCAGGGCCCTGTGCACCCCTGTTATTAAGAGGAGCTCTTTGTTCTGTGTTTGATGTTTCGGGCATTCATGAAAGTCTGCAGCACGTCGGCGAAAGGTGGGCTATGAAAGAGCAGATTTTAACGTTGAAGAAGGTAGACTAGAGCTTTAAAAATAATTCTGTAATGTCTATTATACCAATAAGCATAGAAAAGTTACCCGGTTAACTTTTTTGTTTCCGTAAGCTTTATTTATAGAAACTACACAAGGAGATTTGTGGGAATGTTTGGGTTGTGTTGACTTTGGTCCTTTTTTCAAGAGGATAGAACAGGATATGAGTAACTGCAAAACTTTATCTAGTGATTCTGCTGGAAATATGGACAACAGCAGAGGAATTTAAGACTTTTTATGAGGTAGTAACTTACAGGTTTCCTTAAGCAAACTTTGAATGGAGGGATCTTGTCTTTGTTCAGCAGCTCCTGGCATTAAGTGCAGTAGATAGCTATGGAAATGACTTAAATTTTCCTGGCCTTCGCGCGAAAGTAGCTGTGAATGCCAGAATTTATGATTTTATGTAACTTACTTCCATGTATCTATTTTCCACATTTATGTAACTTTCATGTAAATGTACTCTTTTGTGTTTCAGTGCCGCTGACTTAAAATTGCTGATGCATTTAGCTGTTGTCTCTCTGTAATGGTAGACAAACACTGTTTACCAGTGCTGAAACTCTCTGAGGACCCTCCCATTCCCTCAAATATGTGTATTCATGCATAGACTGTAGCACTGGGAAGCATTGCCTTGGTCTCTACATAGATAGGGTGCAACAATGTTGCAGCATCAAATGTTTACTTGAGGAGGGGATAGTTTGATACTGTAGTTTTAGCTCTTTGGTTTCAAAAATAGACTCTCATTTCTTAAACTTAGCTTTGGACTATATTGACATCTGTTTATTTACTGTTAAAAGATAAATATAGTTACTGAAAAATCAGGGTTCTGTTCCAAGTAGAAAAAGGAAAATGGTTAGTGAGCAACAATGGATCTCTTCCACAATGGATAACATTAATCTGTCCTATTCTCTTGTCAATGGTTTTGCATTGATTCAAGCAATTCTAATAGCACTATATGGAATCCTACATCTTTTGCAAGATGTGCTGTTTCATTTTGCATTTGATTTATATTCATATTATATTGTTTAACATCATAACAGAGGGAAGACTTCAGAGACAACGACTGACAAAGGCTGTTGAATTAGCAGAAATAGTAACTGATCTAAGCCTCAGGAGGAATGCTTAAGTGGGGCCCAATTTTATAAATGTTCTTGTTCTTTAGGAAATATTTTTGTGTTCCCCTTATGACCTCATTGCTTTAGGTATCAGGGTAATGGATGACAAGGACCCCTTCTGTATACATCCAGAAACATTTCTCCAAGATTTGAAAATGCTGAAATTAGCATACCCCAATTCCAATCACTGATCTACTATTAACGTATTTGGTGATATTAGATACCATGATTTAGGTCATTCCATCCTTATGTAGGATAGCGGCCAATACTAGACATAGAGGCAAAAGGGGGTTCTGCAGATCCAGCAGCCTCAGCTTCTTGTAGAGCCATTCCCTGTATCCTTGCACTTCTAGCCTTTTGTTTTTAAGTAAACTCTCCGGTGACATATAGGATACACATAGGAAGGCACAAATCACAAACACGCAGCTCAGGATCATTAGAAAGTGAACCTCCCACCACCAAGTAGAAGAGAATGTGAGGGGGTGTTGGGTGGTAGTTTCTCACAGGGAGAGAAGGATAGCTTGGCCACAGGTTCAAGCTCGCTCCTAGAATTGTTTGAAAGCAAGAAACGACTACTACTCAGGTTGGCAGTAGCAAGATGTCTTTATTTTCCTCTCCCTTTTTATTGGGAGCTAGTCATGTATATCACATTGATCAATAATTCTAATATTCTCTATTCTTAAACTGTAGGGGAAAAAAAGTCTGGGAAAGTGAGATAACCATCTTAAGACTAGTCTAAAGAAAGAGAGTCCAGAAAGACAGACAACCATTTTAAAAATAGCCTCAGGCTATTCCTCTCTGAAGACCTAAAACAACTATACATTATCTGACTTCTATTGTTAAAGGTCAGGATAAACAGGGGAGTAAAACCTTTTTCTTCCATGTACTCAATTAAGTATCCGAGAAACAGGTTCCACGACTGTTTTCTCATGGTTTGGAGGCCCCACAGTTATGCTGGAGTGTTTTACCCACATCATAAGACAGAGTTTTTCTTTTCACTCACACCAACCTTTGAGTCATGTCCCCTGCACAGATGGGCCATTTCAACCCTTCTCTGACACGCTGACTTGACTGCACAGTCAGGGTTCCATGTAGGAGGCTGTTAAGGCTTGCGTGCAGGCTCCCACCGTGCTTTCCCAGGTCGCTTAGGCCTTGACAAAAATGCATAATACGAGTCTTTTCGCTCAGTTTCTGGAATTAAAAGAGCATATTTCATTTAATTTTGTGGGAATTCATCCCACAAGGGGGCCTCTCCTTAATCCCGTCTCAGTTACTAACCACCCAATGGTAACCCACTCTTCTGTCACACCATGTGTTCATTTTTCCTGCTTTTGAGCCTATATAAATGGAATAATATAGCATAAACTCTCATGTTTTGGGTTGTCTAGCTCATAGCAACCTCAAACTCCTGGGTTCAAACAATCCTTCTGCCTCAGCCTCCTAAGTAGCTGGAACTGTAGGCATGTACCACCATGCCCCTCTAATTTTTCTATTTCTATTTTTATTTTTTGGAGACAATCTCACTTTGTTGTCCCCAGTAGAGTGCTTTGGCATCATAGCTCATAACAACCTCCAATTCTTGGGCTCAACCCATTCTCTTAGCTCAGCCTCCCAAGTAGCTGAGACTACAGGTGCCCTCCACAACACCCAGCTATTTTTAGAGACGAGGTCTTGCTCTAGCTCAGTCTGGTCTCTAACCTGTGAGCTCAGGGAATCCACCTGCCTCGGCCTCCCAGAGTGCTAGGATTATAGGTGTGAGCCACCACACCTGGCCTTTTCTATTTTTAGTAGAGATAGTGGTCTCACTTTGCTTAGGCTAGTCTCAAAATCCTGAGCTCATGAGATCCTCCTGCCTTAGCTTCTCAGAGTGCTAGGGTTATAGATGTGAACCACTATGCCCAGCCTCATGTTTTGGTTTTTTTATTATTTTAATTTTTTTTCATTTTACTTTTGAGACAAAAATCTCACTCTGTTGCCCCAGACTAAAGAGCTGTGGCATCATAGCCCACAGCAACCTCCAACTCTTGGGTTCAAGTGATCCTCTTGCCTCAGCCTCCCAAGTAGGTAGGACTATGAGTGCCTGCCACAACCCAGCTGGGTTTTGTACTTTTTTGTTGTTGTTATTGTTGAAACAGAGTCTCACTATGCCACCCTCAGTAGAGTGCCATGGTGTCATAGCTCGCAGCAACCTCAAACTATTGGGCCCAAGTGAGTCTCTTGCCTCAGCCTCCCAAGCAGCTGGGACTACAGGCACCTGCCACAACACCCAGCTATTCTGCTGTTGCAGTTGTCATTGTTGTCTAGCTGGCCCTGTCCATGTTCAGACCTGCCAGCCTTGGTGTATATGGCTGGCAGTGTAACTACTATGCTATGGGTGCCAAGCCTGGTTTTTGTATTTTTAATAGAGGAGGAGTTTGACTCTTGCTCAGGCTGGTCTGGAACTCCTGAGTTCAAGCAATCCACCCACTTCGGCCTCCCAGAGTGTTTTGGTTTCTTAAATCCAACATTATGCTTGTGAGATTGGTCTGTGTTGTGTGTAGTACTAGTTCTTTATGTAATATATTATGTAATATTATTACATTATATAATATGCAATATTCCCATGTGAAGATACCACAATGTATCCATTCTATCATGGGCATTTGAGTTATTTTCAATTTGAAACTATTAAGAATAATACTACTTTGAACTCTTTTGTACATTTACAAACATGCTTTTTTGGTGGAACATCAAAAAAAAATGTGTACTTTTCTACTAGGAAATAAGAAGAAGGTGAGTTTTTGAGTCATAGGATACACTACCTTCAGCTTTAATAGATACTGTCATACAGTTTTCCAAAGCAACTGTATCAAGTTACACTTCCGCCTGCTTTGTAAGAGAGAAGCTTTTGTTCTCCATCCTTATCATCACTTGATGTTGTCAGTCTTTATAATTTCAGCCTTTCCAATAAGTGTGTAGTAGTGGCATCTCATTTAATTAGGTTGAGTACCTTTCCTTTATTTCCCTACCTTTTTGTGTAGATTAATTTTATTACCTGATATACTAGAGAGAGACTGACTGTAAAAGGCAGGTTGGAGTCGTAATCACTATTACCCATCATGCAGCTCCTGTTGCTGTTAATGAAGTTCAGGAGTTCCTCAACGTTTGAGGAATGTTTTGAGACCTTCCTGAGTACTGTTATAATTTGCATTTTCCCCACATTAAATTAATTAAGGCATAATTGAAACCTAAAAGCTTACATTAAAGTTCTTACTGAGAGTTACATAAAAGAACCACATGGCTTATTTGAGGGGTAAATACTGGGCAGTCAACTGGGCTCACCTACCAACTAAAATGACCTTGCTTCTGCACACTCATTTATCCAAGACTATAAATTACTACATGTCACTCTTGTTAAGGTTTCTTGTGAATAACTAGTGTTAAACCCCCAATAATAGTAACACTTGGCTCAGTGCCTGTGGCTCAAGCAGCTAAGGCGCCAGCCATGTACACCTAAAGTGGCAGGTTCGAATCCAGCCCGGACCCGCCAAACAACAATAATGGCTGCAACCAAAAAATAGCCGGGCGTTGTGGCGGGCGCCTGTGGTCCCAGCTACTTGGGAGGCAGAGGCAGGAGACTCGCTTGAGCCCAGGAGTTGGAGGTTGTTGTGAGCAGTGAAGCCATAGCACTCTACCCAGGGGGACAGCTTGAGGCTCTGTCTCAAAAAAAAAAAAAAAAAAAAATAGTAACACTTCTTGAGCACCTACTCTGTACCAGCCACTCTGCAAAGTTTTTTATGTGCTTTGTCTCAATTTAATTCTCCTTCTCCCATTGACAACCCCAATCATTCATACC